TGCTCACGGCTGACCTCCCTGATCTGTCATCCAGGGATGATAACAATTTCCCAGAATCTATCACAAGAGATCCTGTCGTCTTTGACAGCCCTTCCCCCTCTAAAGTGTCCCGCGCTCTGACTGAGTCCGCCTGAGAGGACTCCGAGTGTGAATTAGAAGAAAAAGAAGAGGAGGGAGTTCGGTTTTGAGGGGATCTGCTTCTGTCTCTGTTCTCATCAGAGTCTCTCTTCTCTCCTCCTTCTGGGGCATCCCCCACACCACGACGCTTCCCCCCTTTGGCCCGGGTGGAGGGAGGAGAGCGCCGGCCCTGCTTTTTTATCGGCTTCATCTTTTCATCTAGCTCGCCTTTTCTCTGGACAAGTCTTTTTATTTATTTATCCCAGAGATTCTCCTTGGCGTTCCTCTCTTGCTCTGCCTAGTTTTTTCTTCTTCCCTCTCCTGTCCGTTCTTTCTATTTTCCTCCTCTGCCGGGGCCTCTCTCTCTCATCCTGTCTTGTCTTTGTTGTGTGACTTGCCCACCTTATTCCAGAGAATCTGAAAGAAAGGGAGAAGGGAGGTTACCCATGTGGCAAACACATTCAGACATGCACAAAGTCTATTCACTGCAAAAGATAGCTACTAACTGCATGGCGTGCAAAAGAAAAGTGACCGACTGAATCAAAATCAAACATCTATGAAAACATTCCAGTTCCACCAAAATAAAAGCACAGAAAAATGGGACTCTGTGACTAAAATTAAGAGCAGTAAACAGTTAAACCATGATTTTAAGAAATATAGGCTATTCCATGATAAATGATGCACCATCATACTAGAGTAGCAATGAACATGACTCATGTACAAACACATTACACGTTTTTTCATTACATAACAGGCTCTACTCACATTACACAGGGCCCACATCCATACCAGGTATGAAAACAGGAGCCCATATTGTGGGGTAAACACAAAATAGACTTACAACACAGCATGGAAAATAGTGAGGAGCGCTTTGCATTTGCCCAGACAAGCCTTTCTGCATGCACTCCTCTCTCACACACACACACTGCTTGTTGGCTGGGCCGTAGAGGCGGGGGAATTCCTTCTTTGCTCGCATACTGAAACCCTCCCTTTCTCTCTCTCACTCCCTCTCTCTCTGTTGGGACCTTTATCTATGTATTTCAAAGCAGAGTCAATCCGCCCCTACAAACTCCGTTTCCTGTGGACAATTACCTAACTTCCCATTACTTTATTTCTCCCTCTCTCTCTTTATGCTACTACTACATGTTCATTCTTACCCCCTGCCTGCTTTCTCTCTTCGCTCTCTAATATCGATTTCTACCACTCATCTCTCTCTTTCTCTCCTCTACTTCCACCTAGTCTCTATCCTCATTTTGTGCTGCAGTCATCCGGAAAAGCAGAGTTGTTCTGAAGAGCTGTTATTTCACACCAAAGTCATTCAGTATCACTCTTAGCCATGCCAGAGCCATTCAGAATATCTCCTCTTCCACACTGGACTCATTCACAGTTCTGCCTTGGTTTAGAAGGTAAAACAGATTGATTTTGCTGACTTGTTGAACCGAGGACTGTTGTCATTTAACCGGTCTGTTTGCTGTGTGACTGATACACACAGGACTCGCCTCCTGATCCTAGTTGCTGTGCGTGCTACCTCATTTCTTCCAATAAAAGAGCCTCCACAAAGCGACGAGTGCCAGAAAGATGTTTACAAGTGTATAAGAGTAAGATTCAACACTTCCTCTTCTATAAGCTCTGTCATCCTTTTGAAACATCTCACTCCCACTCTGATCTTCACTGTCAAAATGTTCTGGAGTGATCTCTGTCAAGCACTAGTAGACAATTCTGACTGTTTGACTGTCTGTTAACTTACATGTCTGCCTGTCTGTTCCCCCACCGGTCTCTTGCTTTCTGTCTGCCTGTCTCTTTTCCCTTTTGCTGCCTTCCTGTTCATCTCTGAATGCCAGCATTCATTCAGGTCCTTTTAATATCTGCCACATCATATCGGTTAGAGAGAATTCCATTTTCAGAGATGAGTGCCGCCTGTCTCAAGGCCACATACACAGCAAACATCTATGTCATGATAGTTGATAGTGTATACAGAGAGCTAGAGCTCACAGCCATCCCTGCACTCTATGTAAATCCCTATTTAGGACAGGCAGCCGAGAGCAGCCACCATAAAATAATTTGGCAGCCAGCCTTACTTGGTCATGATTGAGGTATGCTACGCATGTTTACTCAGTAGTGCACTGTGTACGGCAGCTGGTGTCAAGTCATGGGTCTAATGATAACAGCTTAAAGACATATTGATGCAATTTACACTCCCCTCTGTAAAATATGGTGCAGGGAGTGGGTTTAGTAGGCTTATGTGTCCTGTGTTTCATGTTCAGTGATCAGAGGGCTTTCTGCTCTGCAGGTATACATTAAGTGCAGCATATCAAGCACACTCATTCTATCATACAAAATAGTGTTTACCCTCATTTAGAGATTGCCATGAGTACATAGCAAATATGGCTCTATGAGCTAAGTCATGTGAGGTGAGAAAAACATGAACTACTGCCTTACTGGATGCATCATTCAGTTCAGCTGAGCAGCTGTCCGGGTTTAGGCCGCACTTTAATCACTTTTTCAACTGCAACTGTGCCAAAACTAGCTGATAACTCCTTATCATGTATGAAGTACACACTGAGTTAACGTGATTATGTTTAGGCCATAAACATATGGGCTTGCATGCCCTCAGAGTTTTGCCAGCCTTGCCATACATGTACTATAAGAATCCCACAAAGAACCTTCAGTCCATTATGATATGTTTTAACTTACTGTGGTGTTGCTGAATAATTTCAATGGCATATTTAAGACTCACAAAAAAACTGTATGATATTCAAAAGTGTTGTCATCCGTAGAGCACCTCTTTAAAATGTATAACAGGATTACTACAGTGCTTTATAAACGACAGGCGAGGGTGTATAAATATATTGACATGATCATAATCCAGAGCAGATAACAGTTGTTAACTTTATCTAGACACGGCCCAAAGCACAAAATGCAAACTAGCAGAGGTGGTGTCGTCACCTCTGGTTTAGCTGGATAGCACCGTGTATGTGTCAATGCTCGTAGTACCGCGATTACTACCAGTTTTACTCCACAACACAGCAGGCCGTGACGTGCAGCCACCAGGCCTCGGCTACACACAAGGCCGCTTGGAAATCCTCTACTCACTGCCCCCGGGAAATAACCGGTTTAACGGGCATATTAACCTTTAATGTGATAGACCCATATTCCCTGTGCAGTCTAACAGCTTACAATGTCCCAAACTGATGAACACGTTAACTTCGCCAATCTACTACACAGATACACACAACACATCGAGAAACAGCCGACAAAGTCGGTCGCTTGGCCCAACCGAAAGTGACAGTCGTCTGGAAATTTGGCTAAAGCTTCCCGGACAACTTTGTTTTGACCCTCGTCGTTTGCTCGAGTGCTACCGTGATACAAGAGAAAGAGTCAATATGTTGCCAGAAACTAGTCCAAGGAGAAGGCCCTCAGACCCCTAAAAGCACATTAATTCAAATAGCCACGTTGGTTCATGGAAAAGCTGAGGAAAACAAGTCCGTGTACGACAGAGGACGTGGAATGACAAGCTTTCGGAGCTTGACACAACGCAGGAAAAATAACAGTTGTTCTAGGAAGTCCAACGGCGGTTATGGCGTTGAATTTATTTCTAGTGGAAAAGTTTCTAGCTCACTATGTCTCGCCGCACCGCTCCCTTTTACGCAGAAGACACTCAATCCGCCCTGTCCTCCTCTCCACACGCCACCCAGATATCGGAAAAATACGCGGATGAACTCAGCTGCTAATACTGTTTATGTTCAACATTAGCAGCTCGGCAAAAGCACAACAAGCCCCACTGCAGTGCTGCAGGAGAGATATTTGTGGCCAGCCTATACTCACCAGAGCTAGTAGAGAACACCGGTGTTTTCCTGGTGACTCCCCCGGGTAAAATAAGGCAGGATGGCCAGTCGTCCGCAGCTGCCAGTTAGCGGTCGCTCATGTTTCTTCAGCAAAGCAACTTAAAAGGAGGAAAAACTACTGCCCTGTACATTCTACACTACAGTCGCAAAATGGTGAATGAAGCCCCAAAGCCTTGACAACCAGCCCATGCAGCCAATCGCGGAGCACGAACGGATACAGTAGCCAATAGGATCACAAGAAAGGGAAATGAAGGCGGAGGTACGCGGCAAAGTTAATTTGATCGATGTGGAACCGCGACCAATCACAATGTGGGGAAAAGAGAACAGCTGTTGGGAGAACGAGGCTGCGGCGACCAATGGGATTCCTCTATGGGCATCCCTGGGACCTCTATAGGGCAGGCACGCAGGACAAGAATAAAATCTTTCCACTATCCTCTCCCCTCTCTTCTTCTTTTTATCCTTCTTTCATTTGTCTATAAACATGTAAACAGGGCCGAAGACTGAGGGGGACTGTTTGTCTTTTCAAAACCGGTTATTTTCGTAGAATAAAAACCATTAACATGTCATTATCATGTTGAACAGAGATCAATATATCACATCACAAATCGTCTCCTATATCAAAATTTCAGGTCACACTTATAAAACTGTTTTACTTAACTTTTCATGTATCTGTACTGGGCAACGTCTCCACTGTGACCCATATTAAGCCACAGGTTGAGTGTAGTTCCAACAGGAACCACAAAAAACACCAACTCCCAAATTCTCATGCTTTGTCTCTTTCCATCCCTCTCACAAACTGTACCCTCCCCTCTCAGCTAATCAGAGGTGCTCTACAAGGCTCAGCATCCCCTAGTCCCGCCTCCCCATCCAATCGGTACAGCCGCTGGAGGCCATACGTCACCAGCGTAACGTGTGATTGGCTGAGGGGCCTAGGGTCTGCAGGCCAATGACCGAGTGCTGTGATGAGGTCATCGTGCTTGTTGCCATCAGCTTGGCCAAACACAAGAGTGAAACCCCAGTGAGTAAGTTGGTCCAAACAAGGCATTATGGATCCTAAGAGAGTGACCCATATACACCGTGGGCCTCCGTGCGTGCACACACATACACAGTGTGTTTATACAGAGAGGCGTGCATGTGTACGGGCAGGTGCAGACTGTAATTCACCGAAGAATATAAGATGACGCAAACAGACTAAAAACATACAGTGAAACATGCATGAGTGCATAGGCAAACCGACACACACAGTGCATGTGCAGCACACAGGCAACACGTCCTGCAGCGATTTCATAAGACAATAATGGTATGTGGATTTCTGTGTAACACTGTGACACCTTGTTTCTATAGCTTACAGGGACAGATGGCGAGTTTGGTCAATGGTGATACAGAGCTGGCTACTTGCGCCATTGCAGTCTGTCTAGCACACGCGCACACACACGCATATGCACATAGGCAAGCGGGTACACTTACCACAGCTACACACAACTGGGCGCACGCATGCAAGCAAGCACCTACACACACATAGCAGACGCAGTGGAGTTATAACATGTTTGGGCGTTACATAAGCTGTACGTGTACTGGAGCGCGCGCGCGCACACACACACACTGCAGCCAGCCTTGTGCAAGCAGACGTACTCTTTTGTGTATTTTGTATAGACTATATAGGCATGCAAGCATACAGACAGGCACTGCTGCACACACAAGAATGTACACTGCAGGTTTATTTTTAGTATATTATTAGTATATTAGTGCACACACATATATATACTCACGCTCAGAAAAAAGGAATTATTACAGATTTCATGGACAACTTGCGACTCATAAATCTGAGCAAATGCACAACAGGCGCACATGTAAGTGCAGAGTGATTGGGATCTCCAGACATCTCCCACACCCCTGACAGTGAAGCACTGCAGTCTCTGTCTCTTCTTAACTGACTGTTCATTCACCAAGTGTGTATTCAGAAATGTAGGGCGAGTACAAGTTTGAGGGGTGGCTGGTTTCATAAGGCACTGCTGAGAGACAGTAGAGCGAGAAAAAGACCAGATCTTTAGGTCTCACAAAGGCTTCAGAGTGAGGCTGGAAACAAAGTGCGGAGGAGAGTTTGGTGTTAGAAGGTAGAAGTGAAGCAAACAGTGAGTGAAGAGAATTATGAAAGAAAGGCTGCTGTACTGAGAAAAAGAGGGACATGAATCATGAAAGAAAGAGTGAGGAAGAGGGGGATACAGAGCTCAGGAAGACAAGCAGACACCAACAAAAACATCCACAGAGGTGGACCCAGAGATTCTTTGCAGAGGAAGCCGTGTTGTTTGTGAATGAGTGTCTTCAATCCGGCTGGTATTAGCACCTCTGAGCACTTCTGAAGAACAAGGCAGAGAGCTGTGGCTAAGCCTCCTGTTCCAGTCACTTTAAATGCATTACAGCCACTTAACCATTAAACAGCTCCGGGACCCTGCACTGAACCCGAACTGACACTCTAACCCTCTGATTCAGGAGTGTGTGTTTTTAAAAAGAACAAATCGAGAGTGTGAGATGGACCAGATGAGTCCTACTCTACTCCTCTCCACCCTGGCCAACATTCGGAGGTTGAGTACAGTAGGTTTAACAGCCTGCACCTGCTGTGAACAATGCAATCTGAGATGAGTGTGCAGTCACTCATAGCCACTGGCTGAATAATTGTCTGCAGAATATTGTAAAAAATAAAAAAAATTAAAAGCACCACCAGTTAAGTTTTAGACCACCTCAGTTTTTCCAGTTGGTATTAGTGTAATTCAACAGCCGAACACACCTGTGTCATTGTATCTACAACTGAAGTCAAACATAGCCGGGACAGACAGCGCTGTAAAACTCTCAACACATACACAGACAAAAAGTGGGACCACAACATCACTGGTGAAATGTCCTCCTTCAGTATGGATGGCGGGTCACTTTCAGCCACTTCTACAGTATTTGCAGCAGTTGCCACTATAGCTCAGTAGATGGCGCCGTCTTATCTGTGTAAAACGTACTGACCTTAAAACGTGATCTTAGATGTTCCTGTTTTTGTCTGTTGTGTGGTTGTTGTCAGTTTGGGAATTCGTTGGAATCATGAAGGTACAAATGATGGTTTGGTGTTTTGTCAGATTCACAGGCATTTCATTAAGGAGCCTGACAGGAAAGTAATTTTCACTTTATAAGTATTCAGACCCTTTACATAAGTAAAAGTAGCAATTTAAGTAGAAATCCTGCATTCAAAATTTCACTTAAGTACAAAAGTATTAGCATCAATAAAAACTTAAAAACCCAAAAGTACTCATTATTCAGAATGGCACATCTGAAATCAATATTGACCATATTACCAGATGATAATTACTGATACATTATTGTGTCCTACATTTTAGTATTATGTTATACTTTTAATTTGAAGTACTTTACATGCTGCTGGGTAGCTTGTGGATTTCCCACCAGGGATAAATGAAGTTTTGATCATACTTTGCTTTATTGATCTGATTTTGAATAGTTACTAAAGTTTTCAAACAAATCTAATGCAGTAAAAATGTATGATATTTGTTTCTGAATAGCAGTGAAGTCCAAGTACGAAGTAGCAGAAAAGATAAATACTAAAGTTCTAATACAAGTACTTGAGTATATGTACGTACTTAGTTACTTTCCACCACAGTTTGCATATTATTATGAAGTGGGCAGAGCTGTTAAACATTCGATAAGTCACAAAAAGGTTATAATTAGAATAAAGTTTTATTTTTTAATATAAGAAGAACCACTAGAAGTGACTTTGTCCTTTCAGCAGGTTACTTTGTGTTAGTTTGGGATCTCTGACCAGTCTGTGATGAAGGCCTGTGGAAGCACACTTCTCTTCACCTGAGTGAGATCCCTCCAGGTAACCCAACTCCTCAGCATGTCCGAACCAGACATCAGGTGAGAACGTGCTGATGAGTCAGCAGACCTGAGCCACAGCAAGCAAACGCTCACGCTGCTCTGGTGCCCCAATGAGCCACACTCGGAGACCTGCAGCTGTACAGGTGCGCACCTGTCATCAGGTGACCCTCTACATGCTGACTGACTGCCTGTGTCTGAAATTAAACACATTTTTAATCTATTTCAGTAATTATATCCTTACTGGGACAATCCACTGTGTTTAAACAGGTGGAGGCGTAACAGTGCAAACTATAAGCATACACAGAAATAAATATAAAAGATTTTTTTTAAAAGGCATAAAATAAAATGTTTGTCCTTAATAAAGTGACTACCATTCACGTACATTAACACATCAAGACAGACAGGAGAGATAACTAACTTATTTGATCTCATTCTTAAAATTGTCAGTACTGATATGAACAAGGGAATCTAAATATTTACCATAGTGACAGGCTTAATTGTACCAAGAAATCCAAAGAAGCACAGCACCTAAAACAGTTTTGAAATAAAGGTCACAAAAAGTTTATACTGTATACACAAGCACATAAAGTCTGTTTCTCTTTCAGAGTTCAGGACTGTAACTCGTGATCAAAGATACGTTGATGCACCTCACCAGGTTTTAAATGTTGGAGGTCTCCCTGTGACCTGCTGCTCAAAGTGAAGTCCCAGCAGGAGCCCAGCTACAATGCATGATAATTAGCCTTCTGTTGTGATCGAGGTTCTGTCACCGGCTCTGTGGACTGCGACCTCTGACCCCGTCACTTGGGCAGACAACAACGCTGCCCTGTTGGAGGCCAAACGTCCCATCAATCAGCGGCCCGTCCCCTGTTGAGATCAGCAGCCAAAAAATGCTTGAGAACAGATGGGAGGGGAGAAGCAGAGCTCAGGGTTAGAGAGGCTGAAACAAATGAGGAAATGATTAACAAAGTTTTTAAAAATGAGAAAACAAAGGCTGTAAAAGTGGGGAAAGTGAAATGTGGAGGCTGGACAGGGGTAGTTGCTGCCTGAATGCACAACAGTCAACCCCATCAGGAACTGAAAGGACCCGGTGCAGAAACCTTACTGACCATTAAGGAAACACACAGTTACCCTCACTTACCCAGGGGCCCCAAAAGCCTCACTGCATTATTTAATAATAAATGGCAAATGTGTTAATTTGTACCAATGACATACAACTTCAACTACAACAGGCCCTCCATCACATAGCCCTAGTTTCATAGAAAGGCCTGTACTGAAGCATAGTTCTAAGACATGAGTGGTTATCATTCATATTTGTTTGTTTAATCAAGTGAAATATTATTTATATAGCCATTATATAGCCAAAAAACACAAACCACAACTATGTCTGTGTCCTCACCCTAAAATACTCCCCCAGCTGGTTACAGACATATAACCTACCTACCTTTATTTTTGATATATTAAGCTCATTTTTCTGAAGGCAGTTTTTTGTATTTTCGCTTCAACAAGCCTGTGAACGCAAGGATTTGACCTGTAATAGAGTATTTTTCACAGTGCGGTAATGCTGCTTAAATTAAGGTATTCAGTTTTCACACTGGGTTTTGCACAGATTGAACAAATCAGATAAACTTAAACTTTTAACGAGTTTAAGAGGTTCTGAGGGTTATTTCTAGCCTTCAGCAGAGCCAGGCCAGTGGTTTCCCCTTGAATTTACATAGCCTTCTCTGACTTATTTGGACCGTGACCCTGTTCAGAGATCAGCGGTATAGAAAATGGACGGCTGGACTTAACATTTCTTTTCCCCAATTAAGTACAAAATGTGCTCATCTGACTTACCAAGCTCTGGTTTGGATGTTAAAAACGGTTTACTACTTTTTATGGTAATTACACGTAGTGCAATTACAGAAATGGTTCAAGTACTAAGAGACCTTTATTCTCCCTCCATAGCAGCGACTTTTCCCTCAGTACAGAAGAGACCTTTATTCTCCCTCCATAGCAGTGACTTTTTCCTCAGCACAGGTTTCGAGACGAGCAGCTGATCAGTCTAGACATAAATGTGCGTTTACTTATAGTCTTCAGGCGAACACTCAATTAAATCGCCATTATGGTTCAGCGTGAACATCCTACGATTCTCAGACACATCTCGCGAGAGTTTAGAGACGTGAGGAGAGATGTCGGTGTAGTACCAACAGCGGACAGAGGGGGAGCTAGAGCATCAGGGAAAATATTTAAATAGTTGCAAAAAACTCAATCACGGGGAAATCAACTCCTGAGGCACCTTTAGTGCACAGTACAAATTCTTTATTTAGAAAAGATTGAAGAAAGAAAGAAAACCAGAAAAAGTCAGAAGCAGTCACATCTATCCATGCCCTTCATGTACTGTTTTGCGCTGACATTCTTAACCATGCAGTCTACGAGCACTCTGTGGAGAATGTGTAGAAATAACAGGAATAACTTTGTTTCAGTGGAGAATTGTAGTGTCTAAAAACTGGAGACTTTTGATGCTTTGGCTAAGGCTGGTAATTATTTTGTCAATAATGTAAGTCATTTTAAAGCAAGACTTCACTGGTGCACGCCTCCATGTGTGAATATTTCCTGGCTATCATTCACTCTGGGACAGTGAATTGATTAGTTTTTAAATTTTGTGCCATTTTTTTTCTAAAAAATCTTCTTTGGTTAAAGCTTTTAGTTTGGGCCATAAAAAAAAGAGGCAATAATAGATTTTTAAAAAAACATCATTAGGACTTCTTGTCATAAATAAAAGCTTGAACACAGTGCAGCCAGACTGTGACATAATTAAACCAAGCCCAGGATGATACAGCAACAAACAGCCAAACTCCGAGCAGTGGAACAAATGTTATTGTGATTTGAATCATGAGACAAAGCAGAAGATAAACCCACACGGTGTAAGAAAAAATGTGCCAGTCTGATGAGTAATTAAACCTTCCATGTAGACAGAAGTTTAAAAAAGGTGGGCAGATCAGTGAGGAGTCATCTCTGACACAATTAGAATCATAAATTATTAAGTTTGCAGAAATTTTGTCAGAGCACTCATTGCCAACGGTGGGGTCTCGAGGAGGGAAGCTTTTTCTTTCTGCTGCTTCACTCGAGATCAGCCAAATACTTAAAACTGTGCATCTTCCATGTGTAAAAATCACAAGGAAGTTAATAAATGGGTAATGTTAGAGTAATTTCTACATGCTAACCAGTGTCAGTGCCATTCAGTATCTTATTATTAAAACATTTCTCATCTGAATGAAATAACACTATGAAAACTCTCCAGAGGTGGAAAGTATTTACTCAAGGACAGTCATTAAGTACAATTTTGAAGTATCTGTACATTGAGTATTTTCATTTCCTGCTACGTCATACTTACCAACAGTCCAAAACCCCAAATAGTGTTTATCATCAGCAACTGGCTTTAAGCAGGGAATATTTGGCCGACACGTTTCACTTGACTAATGTGTAAATGGAAAGTTGTTAAAGCTCTATAACCAAATTGTACACAGTACAATTATTAGTCATTTTATGTCAGTACAATGCAACTTTAATCCCCCAAAAGTAAATTCATACAATTATTTACTCTCATTTTTCTAGCTTCAGGTGGACACATGAAAGAAAAACACAGAAACCAACATCAGTTTTTACCTTTTTTAATGAACCCTGATTATTGTTTAATTACAAATGAAGATGAACATACAGAAGAGAAACAGAAGCTCAGGTGGTTCCTCCATGTCTCACGGCCAAGGTGGACATGAGGAGAGACAGACGAGCACAGAGAGGACAGGGAACAGTACAACGCTCTTTTTTTCTTACAGAATCCTCCAAAATGGAAAAATATATACACAACATCAAAAAATAAAAACGATTGTTACTTTCCCCTGCTGTATATCAGTGTGGGGATTGTGACCCTTCTCTTGTCCTTGGTTAGAAAAACATCGCGAATGAAAACAAAAACGCACAAACACACACACACACACACCAAGCCTGCAACTGAAGCTGACTAGATAAAGTTCATGGCGCTCAATAATTACAAAAATAACAGGAATATGTCTGGGAAAAAAAACAGAAGTAAATACGAACAGCATTGATGAAATCGAGGGCGGAAATATCGACCCGCTGGGAAACAGTTATTCTCTCTCGTGTGTTTTGTTTCTGAAGGTGAGGCAGCACATGCACCGATGGTCCAGGCACCGCTCAGTCATTTTTCTTCAGCGGACACTTGTCAACTGTTTCACCCGTCCTTAAAATCAGAGGTGAGTCTGTTTGAATGTTGATGAACAGGTGACAGGTTGTTTTGTGTCTGCTGAAGAAAAATAACCAATGAAATGACACTTGAGTAAGAGAGACACGAGACTGGAGCTGGTTGGACAATGTGGCTGTACTGGATAGCTCTGTGTGCGTATCGACACACGCACACAGTGAGCAGACTACGGGAAGTCCCTCTCTCTTCACTCCACTCTGAGGTTTTGTGATGGTGTGTGTGTGTGTGTGTGTGTAGGACTGTACCATCTACTCCAGAGAGACTGCGGGGGCATCTGATGTCACGTGTGATGTCATCTTTCCTCTTATTCTCTCCAGAGTAAAGCCTCACTCTAACCAGGACGGGGGGTGTGTACAGGCGGGGCTCAGACCCACCCGAGTCCACAGCCCACACTCAAACCACATCAGCATGCTGCAGAGATGCTGGGAGACAGAGCTGCAAACCTGTGTGTGTTGTCCAATCAGAAACAGTCTGCTTTGAACATGCCAGTCCGTTACCTGTTCCCCATTGCAACCTGCGCCTCCACACTTCTCAAGCAGATCTGGGTCAAACTGTGGCTGCTTTTAGTTCACAGCAGGTGAGGTTTAGAAAATGAGCCAAAATGTTCACAAAGAAAACTGAATTAGAGTCACCTTTCTGTGACTCCATCCTGGTGCGGTAAACCCACCCAGCTGCTGCTCCAGAGATCATAAAACAAACACACCCACTAGGAAGGTAAATACGATTTGACCCAGGTCTGGTTGATTGTTCGTGCTCACTCGCTTATTCTTGTCCCCTGAATACACAATAACGGCTTTTTTTATTTTTACAATATAAATATAAAACTCTGGTACCGATGGCCTTTGTCACGGCAACGGTCAAGAGAAGGCAAGGGTGAGAAGGCAAAGGCTGAATTATACTGTGAAATATGCCCATTAGAATATATACACATCTTTACCATTAAAAATACTAGGATTTTCCTGATTTGTATCAAATGACCATATTGAAATATAATATTTGAGTTCAATATATATTTGACTAAAATATATATGTGTAGATTTACGTATTCTGTCTCTCTCCTTTACAAAAACAGAAGGCATGGTGGTACTGGGTGTGATACAACACTTTGCTGGGGGTACTGGATAAAACTCATGGTGGCTTAAAAAAGGCACAATCTTATTTGAAATTTGTTCATTAAAACGGGCGCAGTGTCTTTTTTTCTTTTTAAACAATATGAATAAAACATCATAAAAATAAGTTGTTTCTCAGTATCTCAGTGAAGGTTTGCCTGAGTTGACCTTGATGTTGGACATTCATGGTTCCTGTTCCTCACTAGACAAAGTCAGTTCGCTTCCATCGTCGCTTCTCAAATAATCACATGAACAGATTCGGCCGCTGCCTCTGAAATACACAACGGCCTCAGGTCACTGCCAATGCCCTAAAATACGGTCCACATCCTCAGAAGGCAGAAGCATCCTTTGACAGAAAGAATACCGTCTTAACAGAAACAGGGGACTGCAGAGGAGAGCTGCTGACCTGGTTGTTTCAGCAAGAAAACACTATGAATGCCCTCAAACCTCCAAACCCCTCAAAGACTGAAGTCCTGCAGGGACACAAAACACCGCAAAACATTTTGCGTCCTCAAGGCCTGATACGTTGGGTCCATGCACACACATTCATAAACAAGTGTGCCTGTAAATACAACCTTGCTTGCAGCTGCTTCCTCATTTCCTCAACAACTTGAAATGAAAAGGAGCAAAAGATCTGGCGCCTTCCTCTGATCCCCAGGGGTCTTGTTTGTACAGCGGGAAACACGTCCATTTGCTGGCTAACAAAGGTACAACAATGCTGTCCGCCTGTGTGACAGGCCAGAGGTTGAGAGGCCAAAGTTCATCAGAATCTTTGTCTGTCCTCAAGATGTACAATTCCATCCTCATTTTACATCTTTATACACTGTTGTGAATGAGCTGAGGATGAAAAGAGCACTCAGTCTGGCCCTGGTGCAGTCTGATAGTGTCCAAGTTGTCTCCTGCAGAAAAGACTGATTGGAGAGTTTGTTCTAATCACCTCTTGAAAGGGAAAAGAATTCCCTCTCCACTCTACGATCCATCACTGCGAGGTCTTTTTGTTCGCTGTCCTCCATCTTGTAAATGACTGCGTTGCGATGGGTGCAGACAGAGAGGCACTTCTGTAATCTCTATCAGGGCTGTTGAGAGTGTTTTGAGTAACACTGGGATCTGTCTGTTGTGGTGAGGACAACGGAGGAACAAGCTGACAAGGGGAGCTGGGGGAGAAAAGCTCACTGCATCCAAGTGAGCCAGACATGTGAAACTCAGTCTACTGCTTTACAATTCATGCTGCCTGTGCAGAGGGTGGGAATTGTTTCACTGTACCAGATAAACAAACATTAAAGGCATGATGTGGGCACAGGTGTGATGTGAAGTGATCCCTGGTAGACTTACTGGCTTAACTGGCACTATGAGGGCAAGGAGGCATTGAGAAGGCAGTGTGCAGTTGCTAAGAGATAGTAAGAGTAGGCTCCCTCCCTCTAGGGCAGAGGTCAATATACAGAGTCTGATCATCTCTTAGTGTTGTGTGTTGCAGCAGAAACACAGCTGTGCTCGTGCTTGATAAGGTACCAGGTGTCTTGCCATGTAGTACACCAGAGGCTACACAGGCACATCTATGTTGGATCACCTCACATCTACCTGTTGACAGCAGGTTGTCCACAGCCTTGTTAATGCAAAACTGGTGTCAAAACATGAAGGTAACTAAGGCGCATTCTTTGTATCAACATGTAGATGTAAACTATGTAGGACAACATTGGTTTCTGTTGAGTAATTTAAGGAGCGAGTGGCACAGTGAGGTCAGCAAAAAGTGCCCAACAACTCCTTTAATTATTGCACAAAAGCATCATTTCCTACATAGGATACATGTCCACATTCCAATAAACACAGAAGAACAATTTGAAAGTGGGTTTAGGTGAAAACCTTTCAGGTTCGTCTCCATTTCCCACACTTTAGGTCTAGGTCACTATTGCAGACATGAACCCACAAGGCAGTATGGTGTGCACATGTTTGCTGACGGGACTCCCAGAGGTGTGTGTTTTGTAACTAAGCAGGATCCCTGTGCGCGTGCATGTACACATGAAACTCAGCAGCCAGTGTTTTCCAGAGACAGCTGTGCTGTAGCCCTCTGCAGCTCCGAGCTCGCTCTGCGCTGGGTGGGAGGTGGTGGCAGCATCAACCCCAAAATAACACCACCCCCTCTTCCTGCCCCATTTTCCACCTCTTCCCCTCTCCTCCCTCGCTCCTTTCCCTCCAACTTCTCCATTCCCTCAGCCCTCACTTTCTTGTCCTCAGCTTCGTCCCTCTCTCCATCCGCCTCCATCTTCTGGTCTTCACTCCAGCGGCGTTTGAAGCGTAGTTTGAGCGGGATGCAGCGCGTGCCCCCAGGGCTGAGGGGAGCTGCCTGACCTGGCTCGGTCTTCAGGCCAATCAGAGGGAAGGCCAGGCTGCCGCTGCCAACTGGAGGAGTTGCAGGAGTCTTGAAGACCTCGTCATCGTCAGGGTCTTCATCGTGGTTATTGTGAGGAGGAAGAGGAGCAGAAGGGCTGCTGCCATTTCTGTTAGCCTGGCATTCGTTGGTGATCTGATCATGATAGTGACGAGCCATCGGGGTGAAGAAGTCACCTTTGTCATCGTTATGATTCGGCTCATCTTCCTCACTGATGTCGGTCACCTCCACCTCCTCCTCTGACTCGATGTCTGATATGGGCTCCACCTAGAGAAGAAGAGGAATTTACAACACGCCACTTTATTTAGGACTCTAGCCAACCGATTTCTTATGCTCACATATGAGACATTCCCTAGACCACAAACCAAACACAAGCAGAAATGGCGCAATCTTTCTGCGTCAGCAGTCTCACCTTAATCTTTGGAGGCCCTGCAGCCAGGGCGGAATTGGGTATCTGGCCAGACC